TTTATTTAAAAAATAGAAAGTTATGTAAAATTATAAATGTCTTAACTATCACTTTCAGTCAATTTATTGCATCCTTGCTGAATAAAAGTATTTAAGTCTTTTAGAGAAATTGTGCTGAGCACAAATTTTGAACGGTAGTGAGTATAACAACTGCATAGTTATACAAAAAAAAAAAACATTAAAGGTTTAGTTCAAAAATGAAAATTAGGTTGTGTTTTACTCACCCCCGAGGCATCCTAGGTGCATATGACTTTCTTCTTTCAGACGAATCCAGTCGGAGTTATATTAAAAATTCTCCTGGCTATTCCAAGCTCTATCATTGCAGTCAGCGGGTGTTGCAGTTGAACAGTCCACAAGTCGTCAAATAAAGCTTGCGCATTCATAATAAAACGTGCCGCAGACGGCTCCGGGGGATGAATAAAGGCCCCCTGTAGTGAATCAATGTAAGAATTTTTGTAAGAAAAATATCCATATTTCAAATGTAATAAACACTTTTCTCTCACTTCCGCTGACTGTCATACACTGAAGCAGTTCTGGCGGATGACGGATGGTTTTTGTTAATTTATGTCAATTAATGTCAAACCCACTTGACTTGGCAGCGGAAGCGTCCCATTACATTACTTTAAACGTATCAGCTGCTGAACACATAATCGTTACTGGATTTTCTCTGTGAAAGGCTCATTTGTCAACACTGCCTTTAATTGCCTCCATTATTAATGGCTGATGTGAGGAAAACCTTTTTCCTTAACTGCCCCTCCTCTACTTTAGTAGCTAATGGTTGACAAACTCCTCTAAGCCTAGAAGGGTCCAGCTCATGCAAAGCCTCTGAGTAATCGATTTTGCTTAAAAGAAACAGCAAAGCTAACAGCACATTAGCAGTAATCAGTGCTGGAGCTATAGGTGCTGTTCTGTTTTTCCCCCTTCAAGTCTATTTGGCTAATACTCTGATATTGCATTGTCCTTTCCTTTTTGTTGACATTCAAGTACTCTGCATTGGCTCTCTGGTCAAATAAGAACCCAAATGGCAGAACCATAGCATGTCTTTGTTTTGAGCATAAAACTCCTCCCCTCATCCCATTTAAGTGCTTTATATTTCTAAATCCTTTCGTTCTTTCTGTCTTGACACAGTGTAGAGCAATGCAGCTCTTACACCCTTCATTATTGTCAGCCAAATGAAGCAGGGCTGTTATTAGTCTCAGCACCCTGTCAGGTCTCTCTAAGCACAGGCCTGTACTTTAAGGCTCAAAGGAGCTTAATAATACAAGTCTTAATGAACACCTTGTAAGAAACTTAAAATAAAATAAGTAAAAGACTTGTTTAGAAATGTGTAATGTTGATTATAATAATACAGTCACTCTATAGATCTAACAACTATCGTAACCCCCTAGCAGCTGCTTAGAATACTTAAAACTTTCCAAAATACTGAGAAAGTTGGCAACATTTTTTGCACATGCATCATGCCTCTTTTTGTTTATTCTAGTATTCGTGAACACCAAGCATGTACTTGCCATCATGAGCACCGGGATTTTCCTGGTGGGCCAATCAGTGAAACGAGGGAGACCTCTTCTGATCTGAGAGAAGCCCCGATGTGTTGCCAATGCCCGTGAGATATTTGGCATGCTAAATATCTGGACCTGTCGGCAACTCACAGTCCTGCAGTGTGAAATGTGTTTTGACTGGAAATGACATCGGCGACGACCTACAACCATTGAGAGAGCAGGATACAAGTCAAGGGAAAGATGGAAAGTTCAGGGGATCGAGTCATAGATCTGCAACAAAACACCAGCATGCATGGCTTCTGCAAGCAACCATCTCTACTTCATATTCGCCCTCCTGTCATTCCAAACCTGTGTGACTGACTTTCTTCCCTGGAACATAAAAGAAGGACATTTGAGAGATTTAAAGAGCGTAACCAGTTGATGGTCTCCATTGACTTCCATAGTCAACAGGGAGCAGAAATTTAGTTACCAACATTCTTAAAAATATATGCATTTAGTCATTCTTTTGTGTTCAACAGGAGAAATAAATTCAGACAGGTTTGGAATGACAGGAGGGCGAGTACTGAGGGTGAGAGCTTGGAAATGTCCCAAGTATACTGGTAACCAGCATTAACATAGTTTTAACTGTTTAAATCTACACATTGCAGTATGTTTCATGCTGTCCATGTCATTTTTTTGGCATCTTACAAAATTGGTACAAACTAATTTTTGCATGTTGAATGTAATAGCAGGTGTAACTTGCTGAAAGGCCCCTATGATATGGTACTTCTACAAACTTTACAGACACTGGGAATGGCAGTATATATTAAAAGAAATTTCAATAACTGAATATTATTCAGGGTTTACACTTTTGATTACAGTAATTAGTGTTTTTTTCCAAATTATTTTTTACTCACAAATATTTCTACCCAATAAAATATTTTAAAGCTTGAAAAAACTAGAAAAAATTATATACTTTATAAAATGTACATTTCCACTTTTTAGGATTTCCATGACTTTTCCAGGTCTATAAATCCCTAATTTATCCAGGTATCCCAAGACAGTGAGAACGATTTAATGTAGAGGGAACTAATTAAAGTAAAAATGTGATGTAAGCTTACATATTGAGTTTTAGCTGTTTTAGCTTATTTTAAAGTTTGTTTTGTCTTGTTTTAAATCATTTTAAGCCATCTTGGAAGTGAGCTGAGGCCCCCGGTGGAGAACTGGTGCTTTAGTGACAAGCTGTTGTACCCCTAAAGTTCCTATTTTTGGGCTTTTTTTCTGACAGTGTATGTGCTCTTGAACCTCGGTTGACAAAAATATGTATCTTGTGTTTCCATCAGTCAATTTACCAAAACATATTTGGCTCCATTGCAGACTGTACTTAATTTTACAGATCCAAGATATCAGCTAAAATGATTCAGGCATGTTTAATAGTCTCCCAGTGTGGCTTTAGCCTGTTACTGTGTCAGGCCAACAACCATATGCTCCTCTGATCTGCTGATTGATGGGTATACTGAACCATCCCACAGACTGGCCATGTAGATTCCTTTTAGTTCAGATTTGTATGTGATTCAGAGAGAACCGTTTCAGGATGTTACTTTATAAATGTGCTTAATGTGTGATTTTAAAGTGACTAATAAAAGTATTATGACTGGCTAATCAGTTAGATTATAATGCTAATAATGCGAATTTGCTAAAAAATCTAAACAGAAGCACAAAGAGGCTGAAATGCTTGAGCTCAGTTGTGTTGCAATGTCGTTTTATGTGTGCAGTGAGGATATTTAAAGACCTCATTGCCACGAGAGGCTGTTGAATAGCTCATTATCATTAGCTTCCTGTTAACAAAGTACAAGAGAGATATTGGAGCAATTCTCTCTTGCCATTTGTGTCTTTCTCTGTATAGTGTCAGGCTCATGAAGGGGAAGAGAGGGCTGTCTTCCTCTCCATCTGTCTGATCTTTCTCTCAATTCCATGTAGAAGTGTGTGTGTGTGCTTGATGGAGCTCCACATTGGGACCATCTGTTTCTTGCTTCCCACCTTCATGAGTGGAGGAGTGGGCTGAAATCCGGGCATCATTCTTTGCCCACTGCCACTGCAGTTGCAAGTGTATGTGGGTGTGTTTGCATGTGCTCTCAAAAGGTTTCCTTTTTGTATTCCTAGAGACGTACTGTATATTACTCAGCCTTAATGCAGAGTTGGTACAGTTATCTAAAAGTAGTGATGCACTAAAATTGCACCAGCCCAAATTATTTGGCCAAAAATGATTTTTTTTTTGGTTTCAGACGAAATAGTTTGGAGGGCCAAAATCACTGAAACAGTGATGTTTAATTAGCGCTTGTCAGATGGCGTGTTTTGACTGTGTCAGTGTATCAAACTGTAATTGGCAACAAACTGTAGCTCCTTTGGCAAGAAGAACCAGGTATGCTTGGGCATTTTGTCCTGTGTCTTGTCAACGATTTGTCTTTGATTGTCTTTGGTTTGTGTTCCGTTCACATTTCAATCAAATTGCACCAGAGTTTGTTCGGAAGTGAACTGAAAAGATGGTTCTCCGCTTGTTTGGTGTGCAACAATGTTCGAATGGCACTGGTCACACTTATTCAAATGAATTACAATAGTATACAATAGTACAATAAAGAGTTCACTTTAATCGAATCAAACCTGTCAAGTATGAACATGTCCAAAGTCTCAGCTTTCAAACTGTCAATTTTATAACAAAATTTAAACAATAAATGTTGTTTTGATGCTCTTTAATGTGGCATGAATGAATGAATGATGCATTTATATAGCACTTTATTGTGTATTGTTGTACACCAAAAGCACTTAACAATCATGTGGGGGGGCCTCTCCTCAACCACCACTAGTGTGCATCATCCACCTGGATAATGCGACAGCAGCCACAAGACAACGGCGCCAGTGTGCTCACCACACACCAGCTACAGGTGGAGAAGAGAGAGAGTCATAGAGCCAATCAAGTGGTTGGGGATTATTAGGAGGCCATGATTGACAAAGGCCAGGGGCAATTTGGCATTACCGATCCCTGTATCTAACTCAGTTTGAGCAGATTAGTTGATTATTAAATAAATAATTTTCATACTGTATTCGAGTTGATCCTGACTCAGTTTTAAAGTTCAAATGTGTGTTTAGCTATTGGTTGGCCGACATGGAATCTGCACCTACAGAAATCTGCTGAAAGCACAATAGAAAAGGAATGCCCCTCATTGATAAAATTCTACAAACATGCTTTTAGTTATCAATAAGAGTGTATTATCTCCAGTTCTGTTTAACACATTTTTTATTATGTTTAAATCCATTTGTGCAAAAAATGTGCAAACCATCTGCAGTCTGAGTCTAGCTACTGGTATTTCAAACTCCTGGTCTGGATATTCTGCAGTGCAGTATTGTGAGCTACTACATGCTTTATCAGTTCGTCAGTTAGCAGTCACATGGTTACTTCCATTAATTTCTCAAACAGTGTTTCTCTCTTTTCGTCTTCCCCCACCCCTTCCTCTCTCTGTCCAGATTACATGTTTGGAAGACTTTTTCGGGGACGATGACGTATTCATCGCGTGCGGCCCTGAGAAGTACCGTTATGCACAGGACGATTTTGTGTTGGATCACAGTGGTAAGGCTTCCACAGCCTTTATAACCGGTAGGCTCAGCTAAACACTAACTTCATTTCAAACCAATGTCTCTCATACTAAACTCTAATAATATATTTGTATCCCTTCACTACACATCTAGGAACACACCATGCACTGTAATCAGCATGGATATGGATACCTGACTGTTTAAAATGCAATCAATTCAAATGATTAAATATTAAGTTTAATTGGCTTATCCCATTTATAGCCATGGTCTGTTATTGTATTGTCTATATTAATTAGGGATTCATCAGCCAATCATCTGTGTTGGCCAATAAAAGTAATTGTCTTCATAATATAAAAAAATAAGTATTTAACTAATTGTACATGATTGTTTAAAAACAACCAGTGATCAGAGTTGTATGTCCTGAAAAGGGGAGTGTGGAAAAATCCCAATAAAAGAAAATGTCTCCGAAAAATGACAGCAGTTTTCAGCATAACAATAAGCTGTCAATCAATATTTTTTATATAAAATACAGAGAGAAAGTAAGGATTGTGACAACATTAGGACACTTCTTTTTATAATCACTGATCTAATCTACTAATGCTGGTTGTCATTAATAGACCTGTAGACTATTTTAAAGGGGTCATGAATTGAGAAATCAACTTTTACTTGAGCTTTTGATATGCAAGAGATCATCGTACTAAAAGAAAATCCTGTTAGTTTCAGAACTGAAAACGTCCTTGTTACTGAAATAAAAGCTTTTATTGACACCAGGCCCAGCGAACGCCAGATCCTGGAATGTGCATACCTATGGCGTAATAGATAGGTTAAACGCCGCCTCCACAGAAGAATATCAACACCTAATTCTGTAGCCCCGCCCACTGATTCACGCATGACATAGTATAGGGAAATAACATAAGTGGCGCTAAACCAGATCGAGCAACCAAGCAATAAACATGTCGTTAAAGATCGCAAAATATTGTGCAGTGCCTGGTTGTGGAAGAACACAGTCACTGCATAACCTTCCAGCAATGCTGTTCCATCTATATTGGATCTGACAGGAATGGCGCAGCACACTTATGTGAGTAAAAAATATTTGTACTATGTGTCACCAATGCTTATTTGGCCAAAAATGATTTTTTTTTTGGTTTCAGACGAAATAGTTTGGAGGGCCAAAATCACTGAAACAGTGATGTTTAATTAGCGCTTGTCAGATGGCGTGTTTTGACTGTGTCAGTGTATCAAACTGTAATTGGCAACAAACTGTAGCTCCTTTGGCAAGAAGAACCAGGTATGCTTGGGCATTTTGTCCTGTGTCTTGTCAACGATTTGTCTTTGATTGTCTTTGGTTTGTGTTCCGTTCACATTTCAATCAAATTGCACCAGAGTTTGTTCGGAAGTGAACTGAAAAGATGGTTCTCCGCTTGTTTGGTGTGCAACAATGTTCGAATGGCACTGGTCACACTTATTCAAATGAATTACAATAGTATACAATAGTACAATAAAGAGTTCACTTTAATCGAATCAAACCTGTCAAGTATGAACATGTCCAAAGTCTCAGCTTTCAAACTGTCAATTTTATAACAAAATTTAAACAATAAATGTTGTTTTGATGCTCTTTAATGTGGCATGAATGAATGAATGATGCATTTATATAGCACTTTATTGTGTATTGTTGTACACCAAAAGCACTTAACAATCATGTGGGGGGGCCTCTCCTCAACCACCACTAGTGTGCATCATCCACCTGGATAATGCGACAGCAGCCACAAGACAACGGCGCCAGTGTGCTCACCACACACCAGCTACAGGTGGAGAAGAGAGAGAGTCATAGAGCCAATCAAGTGGTTGGGGATTATTAGGAGGCCATGATTGACAAAGGCCAGGGGCAATTTGGCATTACCGATCCCTGTATCTAACTCAGTTTGAGCAGATTAGTTGATTATTAAATAAATAATTTTCATACTGTATTCGAGTTGATCCTGACTCAGTTTTAAAGTTCAAATGTGTGTTTAGCTATTGGTTGGCCGACATGGAATCTGCACCTACAGAAATCTGCTGAAAGCACAATAGAAAAGGAATGCCCCTCATTGATAAAATTCTACAAACATGCTTTTAGTTATCAATAAGAGTGTATTATCTCCAGTTCTGTTTAACACATTTTTTATTATGTTTAAATCCATTTGTGCAAAAAATGTGCAAACCATCTGCAGTCTGAGTCTAGCTACTGGTATTTCAAACTCCTGGTCTGGATATTCTGCAGTGCAGTATTGTGAGCTACTACATGCTTTATCAGTTCGTCAGTTAGCAGTCACATGGTTACTTCCATTAATTTCTCAAACAGTGTTTCTCTCTTTTCGTCTTCCCCCACCCCTTCCTCTCTCTGTCCAGATTACATGTTTGGAAGACTTTTTCGGGGACGATGACGTATTCATCGCGTGCGGCCCTGAGAAGTACCGTTATGCACAGGACGATTTTGTGTTGGATCACAGTGGTAAGGCTTCCACAGCCTTTATAACCGGTAGGCTCAGCTAAACACTAACTTCATTTCAAACCAATGTCTCTCATACTAAACTCTAATAATATATTTGTATCCCTTCACTACACATCTAGGAACACACCATGCACTGTAATCAGCATGGATATGGATACCTGACTGTTTAAAATGCAATCAATTCAAATGATTAAATATTAAGTTTAATTGGCTTATCCCATTTATAGCCATGGTCTGTTATTGTATTGTCTATATTAATTAGGGATTCATCAGCCAATCATCTGTGTTGGCCAATAAAAGTAATTGTCTTCATAATATAAAAAAATAAGTATTTAACTAATTGTACATGATTGTTTAAAAACAACCAGTGATCAGAGTTGTATGTCCTGAAAAGGGGAGTGTGGAAAAATCCCAATAAAAGAAAATGTCTCCGAAAAATGACAGCAGTTTTCAGCATAACAATAAGCTGTCAATCAATATTTTTTATATAAAATACAGAGAGAAAGTAAGGATTGTGACAACATTAGGACACTTCTTTTTATAATCACTGATCTAATCTACTAATGCTGGTTGTCATTAATAGACCTGTAGACTATTTTAAAGGGGTCATGAATTGAGAAATCAACTTTTACTTGAGCTTTTGATATGCAAGAGATCATCGTACTAAAAGAAAATCCTGTTAGTTTCAGAACTGAAAACGTCCTTGTTACTGAAATAAAAGCTTTTATTGACACCAGGCCCAGCGAACGCCAGATCCTGGAATGTGCATACCTATGGCGTAATAGATAGGTTAAACGCCGCCTCCACAGAAGAATATCAACACCTAATTCTGTAGCCCCGCCCACTGATTCACGCATGACATAGTATAGGGAAATAACATAAGTGGCGCTAAACCAGATCGAGCAACCAAGCAATAAACATGTCGTTAAAGATCGCAAAATATTGTGCAGTGCCTGGTTGTGGAAGAACACAGTCACTGCATAACCTTCCAGCAATGCTGTTCCATCTATATTGGATCTGACAGGAATGGCGCAGCACACTTATGTGAGTAAAAAATATTTGTACTATGTGTCACCAATGCTTAGTTAGAGATCGCTTGATATGTCCTGATTATGTGTACGTGTCTAACCAAAGTCACAGAAGGCTCCAACTGTGAAGGACGTAGCTTGTCAAACAGGCACACACAACAGTAGTTAACTATGCAAAACTGTTATCCAATCATAGCAGTGGGCGTTTGCTTCCAAGTCTTAAGTGGAAGCGCCCATAAAAACCAAGCAATTCTCGAGCCGGCCTCAAAACCAGGGAAGAAAATAGTCTATTACTTATTGATTTTGATGTTTTTGAATGTAAATACGTGGATCTGAAATGCAAAAATATGTTTTTTGAATGTAAAAAAAGTAGACCTCAAATGGAAAAGCCAGTTCATGACCCCTTTAAAGGCCTCTTATGCAGGTCTGCTTTTTGTTTCAGTGTTTCCTTTTTAATAACTGAGACTATTTTGAATTTTACATTTACAGGAGATTTAGATTTGTGTTTATATATTTGTTTGCATTATAATTAATATACACTACCGTTCAAATTTTGGGGTGATTTTATGTTTTAAAGAAATTAATACTTTTGTTCAGCAAGGATCCATTAAATTGATCTCAAATTAAAGTAAAGACATTTATAATGTTACAAAAGATCTCTATTTCAAATAAATGCTGTTCTTATGAACATTCTGTGCATCAAAGAATTCTGAAAATAAATCTATCAGTTTCCAGGGAAAAAAAATATATATATATATTTTAGCGGCAAATCTTTTTAGCATTGATTTGATAATAATAAATGTTTCTTGTTCAACAAATGAGCATCAGAGGCTTCTGTCATATATATATATATATATATATATACACACATTACATATAAATCTTATACAACTTTTGTTTTGTTACTTATCTTCAGCTTTAGTACAATACTAACTTACTATCTGTTGTCACCTTCAGAAAAAGAAGTGAACGTATTTTAATAGTACATTTTCCACAATGGAGTCATTCATTCACTAGGTTGCAAAAATTCATTCATTTTCCAGAAAAAAACACAACTGTCAGAGGAAGTGACCTTGTTATGAGAAGTTCCTCACATTGTTCAGTGTTTAGTTTACATTTGTCTACTAGTGAACATGGTAAAGCAGGTGGGGAAGTGAAGGCATTCTGTGGCTGTGAAGTTCTAAATAAAAAAGTTTAACTTAGTCTATAATTTTCATCCTCATTTGCTGAAATGCCTCCAGTTCTTGTAGCATTTACCCCACTCACGCCCTTGATAACGATCCATAGCTGTGTGAATTTAGTTCATCTGCTTGGCATTTTGTCCTAGATCTTCTTTGCTGCCCCACTTAGGTTAAGTAGGACTTTTCCAAAAATATAAAGAAACGGTAAGTTTGCATCTGTCAGTATTTACTGCTCAACCTTTTCTTTCTGCAGCAGATGTGGAGTGTCCTTAAAATGCAAGCCCACCACAAATCTTAATCTTCTGTAACTAAAGAACTCATTACACACTCTCTTTCAGATTCTGCTGTTAAATTCTTAAATTAAGCTCCATGAAACAAATTAGCTGGGTAGTAATGGCATTTTAATAATGGCATTCGGCTTGTTTTATCTTCATCACTTAACGATCTGGTACTCATCAGCTAATTTATCTCTGCTCGGCATCACTAGCAAGCGGCGTGTAATCGACAGGACAGATCCAGCAGCTTCTATTCAGTCATTCCTTACTGAAGTTCTGCACCCACTGCTCTCATTAGAAAGATGGTCTGCTCTCATAGGGCTTGAGTAGACAATTTGATTACGCCTCTGCAGAAAGCTTCACAGTCTTGGCACATGTGAATTTGGAAATTGTCTGCAGATACCATTCATTTACTAACATGCATCTATATTAGCCCTGATGCAAGCATGTTTTGATGTGTGTATACATGTACTGTTCCTGTCTGTGTGTTTGTTTCCAAAAAGGTAAATTAAGATGGTGGCTCATGCTTAAATTATCAGATTTATACATTTACATTCAGAAGTTTGGGGTCATTTATTTTTTTTTTTAAAGAAATTAATACTTTTGTTCAGCAAGGATGCATTAATTTGATCAAAAATTAAAGTAAAGACATTTATAATGTTACAAGATTTCTATTTCAAATAAATGCTGTTCTTATGAACTTTCTATGCATCAAAGAATCCTGAAAATATCACAGTTTCCACATATATATATATATATATATATATATATATATATATATATATATATATATATATATATTAGTTAATACTGTTAATTTAGCAAGGACACATATTTATCAAAAAATTACAGTAAATACATTTAGTGAACTATATATTTTCTCCTGAAGCTTTGTTATAATATTAGGTTTCTTGCACCAAAAACAGTCAAAATTTAATTTTACATGACAATTTTCACCTTTCGTTTGACCCTTAACTGAATATTTTTCTACCATGCTTTTAATGGTACAAAAAAAGTATTGTAGTTTCAAATAATATGAAGCCACACAAATGTTTACTGCATTGATGATAAGAAATGATTCTTGAGCAGAAAATCAGCATATTAGAATTTCTGAAGGATCATGTGACACTGAAGACTTAATTAATGGCTGCTGTAAGTTCAGCTTTGACAGTCAGCTTTACATTTAAAAACAGTTCTTTTGAATTGTAATATTTCACAATATTACGTTTTTTACTGTATTTTTGATTAAATAAATGTAGCTTTGGTGAGCGTAAAAGAGACTTCTTTCAACAATATAATTTTTTTTTTAAATCCCCAAACTTTTGAAATATAGTGAACAATTAGTCAACCAGGCAAAAAGGTTAATTATTTGGAATTAGTAAAGACAATAACTGCTCCTAATTTTACTTGTATCTTTTGCAAAAGTTTGCAAAAGAGGCATCATGAGATATTATGAGACACGTATATATACATGCCTTGCTAATTTTTTATATTGTCTCTGTGTCTAGAATGTCAGGTCCTCAAGTCGTCCTATTCTCCTCGTTCTGCTCCCCCTGTGAGATACTCTGGTAGTAAAAGTCCAGGACCCACCCGCCGCAGCAAATCCCCTGGATCTGGTGAGGATACACTGCACTAGTGTCATGCAACATGGACACAAACAGCACAATCCTGTTACCACATAAATCTTTGTTTAAAAAATATAACATTCTTTAACAACTCTGCCGTGCAAAGCAAAAGACTGCAACTTCGATTTTTGTCAAAAATGAGTTATTGATATTTTTGGGACATTCAAGACATCCTTTATCATGTGCATAAGTATCTTGAGTCAATTTAGTTGTTTTTCCGAGAAAATAATGGGTCGTCTCAACCGTAAGCCCTAGAGAAACCAAGGCAGAACACCGTATAACACCAGTTACGGTTCTTTCACTTTGTTTGGAATGCTCAAATTGAGTTACGGCGTTCTGCCTTTGTTTAGCCGTGTGTCAAAATGAAGTTAACATCAATCCACAAGTCGTTCTTTTAGTTTAGGCTATTTAATACAAATCAATATAAAAGCAATTATGCTATGTCTAGCATTATTTTACGTTAATGAGCATAGCAAATAAACTGGTATCCACGGTACTCACATGTTTAACATTTAGTCTGCTTGTTACGGTCAAAACAATAATAATTAATACAGTCACATTACTATATGCAATAGCCTATATGAGATAGCCCGTGATCACTAGATTTTATACAGGTGTTACTATAACGGTTTTGTAAATGGTGATCAGCAACCAAATATTGATAATGTGGAAGTTACTGCCTTTTGCCTTGGTGTGACTTCTCACGTTTTGCAGACAATGCAAAGGCAGAGTATATTAACTTCAAAATAGGGGTAAAAATCAAGTTTGAGCTCACAATTTTTTTAATGTAGATCATTTTCATTACTAAATCATCTAATTGTTACATTTCCAATGTCCTACCTATAATTAATTTGGCTGGACAAGTAAATAACCTTAAAGTCATTGTTCTCAGTTTCACACTCTAGCGAGTTAAGGTCGTTTGCCTTTGTAGGGCAGAACGTTTTCCTTCTCCCACTCCTTCCTGAAATGTGCTGTTCCTGGTTAAATAGCTTTTCTCTCCACTCTAGTGAGAAGAACAGCAGGACACTTCTCTGCAAATAGTCAGTCTCCAGTGAAATCACCAAGTAAGTATTTGTCAAGGTTTATTGCACCAAAAAAGGTCATCATTTAGTTTTACATGTCCATTTCTACTTTCTCTTTGACCCTTAAAATTAAACAAAACGTTTTTCTACTGTACCTTTAAGACTTCTAAAGGTAAATGACTTCTGTTATGATTGGCTAACCTCTTCACATGTGAACTGAGTAAAGGTGTGATCACGTTTATCATGGTTCAGCAAATTTTTGTGGACAAAATCCAGTAATTTCAGTAAGAGTTCTTGCGATTTATTCATGCAGATTTCACAGCTGCTTCAAGTGGATTCACTGAGTTGACCAACAGTAATTTGCTTGCTTTGGAAGTTACTTCTGCGCAAGCTGTGCTTCATACATTGCTAGTCTATTGATAATAGTCAATGGACTTTTTTTGTCCACAAAATTCTGCTAATATGTGACCCTGGACCACAAAACCAGTCTTAAGTCGCTGGGGTATATTTGTAGCAATAGCCAAAAATACATTGTATGGGTCAAAATTATAGATTTTTATTTTATGCCAAAAATCATTAGGATATTAAGTAAAGATCATGTTCCATTAAGATATTTTGTAAATTTCCTACCGTAAATATATCAAAACTGAATTTTTGATTGGTAATATGCATTGCTAAGGACTTAATTTGGACAACTTAAAAGGCGATTTTCTCAATATTTTGATTTTTTTGCACCCTCAGATTCCAGATATTCAAATAGTTGTATCTCGACCAAATATTGTCCTATCCTAACAAACCATACATCAATGGAAAGCTTATTTATTCAGCTTTTAGATGATGTATAAATCTCAATTTTGTAAAATTGACACTTAAGACTGGTTTTGTGGTCCAGGGTCACATATGACCACAGCTTAACACCGCTCCTGCCAAGCTAAATACAGAATAGGCATTGATATGTAAAAAGTAGGCTGTCGTGTGTTCATATTCTTTTTAATCACAACCATATCCATTACATTATGAACAATTGATACTTATATGCTAGTTATTGATGCCTTTACCACAACCAAGACTAACATAGGACAGGAGCTGACAACTAGAGAATCTGACAGCCCTATGAAATTCTTGAGCGTCTTGAGAGAATCTTCCCCATATGATGTTGAATTTACCTAAGGGACATTCATCTGTGGAATGAGCTGTACCTGACATCTAACCCTTCAATCATGCTAATAGCTCTCCTCCATGGCCTTTCCAAATCCATCAGCTAGTCTAGAGTGCTATTTAAAACTCCCTCACTGGCCACTGCCCCGAACCCTGGCATGCACATACTCTAATCTATCAGACATACCAATTGGATGTGTACACTAAATGCAGGCATCCTCATCTGCTTTCTGCTTAGACTGGATAATGCAGTACACACACACCCTAAATTCCTGTGCCCGTGAACTGTAAAGTCTCTCTTGCATGCCTGGAGAGAAATCTGCTCATGCCTCTATCGTCAAACTCAGCAGGAAATGCCAAGAGCAGCTTTTCTACAAATCCCCGCTCCCTGTGAATTCTGACACACTTGGGATGCGTTCCATTAACGCGCATTTTTTTTTTGTGCTAAATTCTTCTACTACTACTGTATGTATCTGGGTGACATTATCTATTAAAAACAGTGTTTTATGCTTGATAACACTGTTTTAAAGTGGCCTTTTTAGAAAGATCTTAGCCATTCCTTCTCTAATTCTATGATTTAGCCTTGAGGATTTCGCTTTAGGTGAGTGGTGCACGTGAAGCCTTGTGGTGTCTGTATGTTAAAAGACTAGGCCAAGGAGACTTATGCTGCACACGCATATGTAGCCATACACATATTCTGTGTGGTAGTTCTGTTTAGATGGAGTTTCTTCTTTTGACAATTTTAAGGTCATTTTCCTGCCATTGGGCCAGCAGTAAAGTATTTTTGTTTTAAACAATGTACATGTACACAACACAATGGTTCTCAACCTTGACTGTAGGTTTCTCAGCTGTAAAGACAAGGTTACACAAACTATGGGAGTCCATATATTAAAATAAGCAACTAAAATGAAATAATTAGATTTCAGGATTCCATAAGTTTTAAGAGCTGAATGTTCTTCAAGATTCCCATTCTTTTTAACCCATGAATTTAAATTACTTGTTCAGTTGTTTGTGATTAAGGGCATATCAATAGCTTTCGGAGACATGCAAACCTTTATTAAAACTTGTTTTGACTTATTTTAAATCATTTAAGTCATCTTGAGGCCCCCTAGTGGACTCCGTCCCCCTTGGTTGAGCATAAGTACATTAACGTAAGACAAAGACTCCAGTTATGTACATTATGTGTGTGAGGAAAATCAGAATTTAAGTTGTTATTTCCCTCCACATAGCTCTCAACCCTAATTTAAATTCACTGATATTCAGTGTTGGGTAAAGTTACTTTTGAAAGTAATGCATTATAGTATACTCAATAAAAAAGTTACTAATTGTGTTACTTATTTACTTTTTATGGAAAATATTGCATTATGTTACTTTTACATTACTTTTTGTCTTCTGGGGAAGGCTTGCTTATTTGTTTTTTAATAACAAAACCCCCAAAAGTTATATTTTTGGCAACTGTGCTCTGCCTCTGCACCTCACTCCCAATTCCTCTCAACACTGGGACAGGAATAAATGGGAAAACAAAGTAACTTGCCATACTTATTTGAAAAAGTAACTCGGCTATTTTGTTGTAAATTTAAAAGTAATGCATTACTTTACTAGTTACTTGAAAAAAGTAATCTGATTACGTAACTTGCATTACTTGTAATGCATTACCCTCAACACTGCTTATGCCTGTATAAAATCACACATTAAAATTGCACAAATAAAATTTGACAGCTACAATGAATGGGAAGAATTATATGATTTTAGTAGACTGGCAAGTCATATAGACTGATCGTTTGGAAACAAGCCTTTTGTTTGTCTTTTTTGTCTGCGGAAGAAAGTAAGTCATACAGGTTTGATGAAAATGAAGTAATGAGATTTGATGATGTAAATGAAAAAAGATGTAAATGATACTTGATTTTTAAGTATAGGACAGGTACTACCTACTCATGGTATCCGCCATGTTGAAATCACATGACCAGCTGACATTAAGTAGATAATATTCTTTTCAAACTGACTGAAATGTGTTCAGCACTATTACTGATGATGTCTGAGACAATGCATGTGTAGCATAAAATAAGCAGTGTAAGAAGTAACATTGTGTTTTTCTCTGTTCTCTGTCTCCCTCCCTCTTCCTGTCACAATCCTCAGTAAATGGAGTGCCGAACAGCCAAATCACTACCCCCAAATCTGCAAAATCCTCCAGTTCCTCCCCGACCAGCCCCCGCAGCATGCGCAACTTCAAGGTAAACCCGTTGGCATGGCAACAGGCTTCCACTGTGCTGCTAATCAGTTTACTAGCAAAACATGGCGAGTTTTAGAATAGATTATTTCTTCATCAAGTCAAAAATAAGATCAGGCTTCTGAATGCTGACTCATGGATGACAGCGTCTTAACACTCTCACTCATGATTAAGGGTTTAGTGAGGCTGCCGAAATTATTGCCTCACAACAAATTGAAGCAGCAGTTGTAATGCCCCTAAATTTCTTCAGGTTAGCGTGATGACACTTTATAACTTAACTATTTCCTATCCTTAAGAAAAAAATACGGTTCAGGAAAAATGATTTTGAATTAGAAGTTATGTATTTTTTTCTGCTGTCTAAAGTTTTCATTCTTTTGATGATATATACAAGCGTTTACCTTGTTATTTCTTTGTTGTTTGTTAAATGGTAACATGAATGTCAGTGATATCTCTGGTAGCTAATATACAAGATTTTATGAAGGCTGTTCGGTTTGTGGCAATTTCTGAAATAAAAATTGAAATATTGAATATTTAAAATATGAAGTGAACATTGTTTCAGTAAAGTGTTTAACCAAAATATGTTCTTGGACTTATAAGCTTATCAGTATATAATAAAAAGCATATATTATATTAAAAAATATAATATTTTATGTTTTGTTATATAAGAATCTATGTCCACTTTTAATACATTATATAAAACTCTGCAGTTATATTAACAGCAATGATATTTCTTTTAGGGACAGTGGGTTAATTAACTTTTTTCTGTTACAGTTGCCTTTGTCATTTATTGTGTAAAAATTCAGTAGTTTGTTCAAATCACTCACAGCATAAATATTTGAATGGTATTGTTACTATTGTAACAAACATAAAGTGCGTTTCTTATAGGCAGGTAGGTTTGCTAAAAAAATTATATATATATAAATATATACATATATACATATATGACCCTGGACCACAAACCCAGTCTTAAGTGTCAATTTTTCGAAATTGAGATTTATACATGATCTGAAAGATGAATAAATAAGCTTTCCATTGATGTATGGTTTATTAGGATCTGACAATATTTGGCCGAGATACAACTATTTGAAAATCTGGAATCTGAGGGTGCAAAAAAAATCTAAATACTGAGAAAATCGCCTTTAAAGTTGTCCTTATGAAGTTCTTAGCAATGCATATTACTAATCAAAAATTAAGTTTTGATGTATTTACAGTAGGAAATTTACAAAATATCTTCATGGAACGTGATCTTTACTTAATATCCTAATGAAAAATTGATAATTTTGACCCATACAATGTTTTTTTGGCTATTGCTAAAAATATACCCCAGCGACTTAAGACTGGTTTTGTGGTCCAGGGTGTACACACACACACACACACACACACACACACACACACACACACACATATATATATATATATATAAAATGTTACTTGCCCCTGATTTTCCTTTATTAGAGTTTCTAATTATAACACCATACCAGGTGCATAAAACATTTGAGAGTGTTCAGTAGTTATAGTGGTCATTTAGCATCAGTATTGTTTCAACATTATCTTGTAAGGACATAGAAGTCTTCAACAGCACTTGTAACAGAAACTCCGCTCTGATAGGCCTAATCACTCCTATTCTTGGAAGCACTGTGAGTCTAGGCATGAGATCTGACTACAGATCTGTAATTAAACCAAAGGTCAAAGTCAAGTATGATCATAGCCTCGAGAACTCCTGGTGTTAATCTGCTTAACTGACCTGTCTATCAGACAGTAAGCTTCTTTTTTGTACGGGTGCTATCTTTAAAGCTTCTTGAAAGCACAAGGATAAACTGCATGACAAGGAGACACTTTCATTCATTTTTAGAGGATTTAGTGGTAGATTTAATAGCGAATAGAGAGTTGTTTGGCACACACAAAGTCAACTTATAGAAAAATCACAAATGAGACCTCAGATGTTGTTTTTTGTTTTTTTGTTTTTTTTTTGAGAGAGAGAGAGAGAGAGATCCACTTCCTTAGGGATCTCACAAGGATGACTTAGCTTTTCAGAAGAGAGCTCGACATGTCATATATTATGCTTAGATTTGTCAAGATAGTAAGTCTGCAATTCAGACATTTGGAGTTGAAATTAATAAATAAAAAATGATTTGGCCAGTGTCATGCATATTAATTTAATCTCTTATATGTCATAAATTGCCTCGTTTATTCATTTATTTTGTTTTTCCTAAAGAACTCTAATATGAAGTCTGACTCTGAGATAAAAAATCTGAAACAAAGTGAAATGTTGTTTAAGTAAAAATTATATTACATTATATTAAGTCTACAAAGCTGTATAAGACCAATGTCATCAAAAACTTAGAAATATGCTATTTTCAGAAACTAGAAAATAGCATATTTCATAGCATATTTAATAGAAACAGTGAATTTCTATTATGAAACAGCCTTTAACAAATTATTCATAGTGTTCTACCATTATTGTGCTCTTATACTGGGGATATGGCTGAATAAGTGGTTTGATGGTAAGTTGCCTGTGAGGCAGGTTCTTTGCACTTTGTTCCTGAGATTTCAAGCTAATTTTAGACCAAACGCGCCAACGTTGTGGTTACATAAATATCTTCCCACTTGCCTTTAGTTTAGTTGCAACAAGCGGATGGGAGTCCCCCTCTGTCTCTCTGTACAGGTATTATGAAACTCTGCTTTCTGTAGCAGCATTCAAATTAGCTGCAGTTCCTTCTGGGTATTCACGTTTTTAGTTGGGATCTTACACAAATGATTGTATCAGTCACTTTAACAGCATAGTATATGGCTGTATATTTCAACTTACAATCCACTGGAGTATTTGAATCCTTCAAAACACCCAACTGTTACTTGTGTACCTAGAGGAATCCTGTGGCCTCTATTACACCAGCTTTAACCAGGGTGCTGCCAGTATTTTGTCTCCATTGGCTTACTTAGTGTTCTCTCACATGACACTGTCACTTCGGTTTAATTCTTATTTGGCTGCTGAATCAAGATAACATGCAGGCTTTTTTATCATACTGATTGCAAGACCATTTAAAACATTTTAAGTCCCTTTTTTTCAATCACAGTCACACGCAGTTTGTCTTCCAGACAGTTCTCTTTGTCTTCTCATCAATCATTTATTTCACTAAGGATGATGCTCAGTGTCAGATGGCAGTATGCTATTGATAAAAAATACTATGCTTTATTTGAAGGTTTAGTATAATCGTATAGCTGCTACAGTATATCCAGTTCACAGTGATTTTCTTTTTACTAGGGCTGGGCAATATAGCGAACAAACCTATGGTTTGATCATGCATTCTTTTGCCTTTAGCTGCCTGAGCAATAAATCTGCATGAATTCCTAAGGTTTGATCATCATGCTGATTTGGTGATAAATATCACAATGCGTTTAATTAACTTTTATTTGGGCAATGGCTTCTTTTGAGATCCGTGCGTGTAACGTATACCTTGTTGACTGCTAAGACATGTTTTAATATCTATGAACTGATATATTTCGTTAGTTTTGATTTAATGAAATTAATAAAGTAAGGTAATAATGTATACTTATTTTATATTACCAGGAATATGGATTTGTGAATCAGGAAGGTGGTAAATGTGCACTTTTACCAATAATGACTAAAGCACATTCAGTATACATACAGCTTCACCAGTTTCAGGCAAAGCTCATTTTATGATTTTTTATGAATCAGAAATGAATCTAAATGATTTCATCAAACTCTGATTCGAATAATACTTAGCATTATCGCTTTGGAAATGTTCACTGGAGTCTTATGTTCAGTAAAACTCTATCATTCAGAAGTTTGGGGTCAGTAAGATTTTTTTTTTTTTTTAAGTTTCTGAAAGAAGTCTCTTATGTTCACCAAGACTGCATTTATTTGTTCAGAAATACATAGAAATATTGTGAAAGATTATTGCAATTTAAAATAACTGGTTTTGATTTTAATATATTTTAAAATGTTTTTTATTCCTGTGATGACAAAAGCCATTGTAATATTTGTGCCTTATGTTCATTCTGCACTGTTTCATTGTGAAAAACATTGTTGAAAACATGCCTTGACCTATTGATCAATTCTATGATGGTTAAGGCCCTGCCTTGAATACTTTTACTTACTTAAAAATACATTTTTAATATGCTCGGCTACATTTGATGTTTGGAAAACAAAAATCACTCACACTTTTTTAGTTATATTGCCCAGCCCTATCATGTATGTAAGTAAAACATCTATGGTGCTTTTAAGGAGTTTTAAATGTTTTAGTTCTTTGTGACTTATTTTGTCTCTGTTTGCAGATTCCAGCACATCACTCCTCTGCAACCAATGTGAACGGCTCCTCTGAGACTCCCCAACAACATAACAACAGTATGAGCCCTGAAGGTAAACGTCCACCCGCTATGAATCACTGGCATGTCCTCACTCACCTTGGATCTTAGTGTGTTTCAAGCCCAGAAGTCCCCGAAGGGCATTTCAGGGGCCTGACAAGGTTTGGCGTTGAAAGTGCTGACACATGCCACTCTGTGCCACATTTGTTCAGGCACTCCACCACACACTTTCCCACACTTTCACACACTGTGGTGGCTGTGTATGAGCAAACGTCCCTGTATGAGTCAGAATGACCTTCGGCTAGTTGTCTGCCTAGTGCTCTGACCAAATTCGAATTGCTGGATGAGGATGTTGGTGGTTTTACAAAACATCCCTACACTCATGACTTTTCACATGAAAACATTTTTGATCATATGGTAAGAAAATTATGTTCTTTTTAGTCTGATATGTTTCATGTATTGGTTTGTTCCCTTTAGTTAATGGAAACAGGAACCTTGCTGCTTCCACTATTTTGGACAAGTTCAAAATTGGCAAAGTCATAGGTGACGGGAACTTTGCTGTGGTAAAGGAGTGTGTCGAACGGTAAGAAAATTACAAGTTACAAAATAATTAAAAATGTTTTTTTTTTCTTTGTTATGTTCTGTCAGAAAACGATAAAATAGCTCTTCGGGGTCAATAGAATTGTGTTGTATTTTGTTTGTTCTCCCTTCTAAGTTGGTTATTGTCGTGATCTCTGATTAAAATACATAAATAATACTGTCCACATCTAGATTCGGTTTTCCTGTTTGTGTTTTTAGGCTAGAATTTTCAAAGGAAGATCTCTTGTGCACAAAAAGGACATCCAGCTTATAAATTGGTTCCTGAGGAATGCACTCAAAACAGACCTTCATTAACCTCCCTGAAACAAAGTCTATTGTTCTATTTCTTTCTTTCCACAGATCCACTGGAAAGGAGTTTGCACTGAAGATCATCGATAAAAACAAATGCAGAGGCAAAGTGAGTTGGACTTTACAGACTTTTTGCGACACCAGCCAATGGAGAGAGTGAATTGAGAAAATACCAGCTATAAATATTCCTTACCAGCCACGAAACTGTATTTTGCATTGTTTTTATTGATAATACATATATTGTGGCCTTATAATGATGCAATTATAGCTGTTTATGAGTTTTGAACACTGCCTGAAAGGTTGAGTTATTGCAATGCAAATTATTTACATCTCGGTGGTCCGTGAATTATTTCTTTGGTCCATTTAATATGGCTGATTAGATTATATTTTATGTATTTCCATTAATCCAGTATGCTGCAGTTTTTGCAAGTCATGGGAGAAAAGCTGACCAACAAATGACACCCAATTTATCCTAAAGGTGTTCAATGGCATTAAGGGATTTTGTACAGACCAGTCAAGCTCTTTTATACCAAACTCAGTAAAAAAAAGTATTTATGGATCTCCCTTTATCTACTGGGGTTAGAATGGTAAAGTTCCTCCCCAAACTGTTGCACCAAAGTTGTAAGGTCATTGTATGCTGCTGAATTTTGATTCCTTTTCATTGGAATTACTGGAACAGCAAGACCCATTATTTAGAAGGGGTGTTCACATTCTTTTGGCCATGTATGAATGATATGTAAACAGCAGTTATATTGGTGGCCAATGTCTCATAATCTAATTTCAGTCTGTGTTTTAACCAAGGAAGTTGATTTCCTGTTTGCCTGGTTTCCTGCAAGAGAAAACCTCAGGAATTCATGCCTCGGCAGCTAAAGGCAAAATAATGCAGAGAGTTGCTGTATAGTTGGGAATTTGTTGTGACACATGCTTTGAACACACAGGAGCACCTGATCGAGAGTGAGGTGGCAGTGTTGAGACGTGTTAAGCATCCTAATATCATCATGCTGATTGAGGAGGTGGATACGCCCACTGAGCTCTATCTAGTCATGGAACTTGTGAAGGTACTGTTTGTTAGTCACTTCTTATACACTCTGATACAGTCTATAAATTTCTCAACATTTCTCAGCTTCTGAAACTTCTGAACTTCATAATTATATATAATTCTTTGATTTTTAATATATCATTTGATATTTATTTTGTTTTTATATCAGACACTACCATTCAAACTACCATTGGCATCTGTAAGATATTTAAAATATATATATATTTTTTTTTAAAAGAAGTCTTTAATGCTTAACAAAGCTGCATTTAATTGGTTAAAAAATACAATAAACAGTTTATTATGTGAAATATCATTACAATTTAAAATAACTTTATTTTAATGGACTCTGTTTTAA